GTGTGTGTGTGTGTGTGTGTGTGTGTGTGTGTGTGTGTGTGAGAAAATGACAGAAAAATGAGGAAAGTTAAGATGACAAACAGCAGAAATGTGCTCGTTTGTTTCAGACTCTGTAGACCCCCCCTCCCCCGGCAGGCTGGTCCAGGATAAATGCTGGAACAGCCCACCTGTCAGGTGACTCCACCCGGTCACAGGAAGTCATATTTCAGGTGTCAGTTTCAGGCTGTGGGCTGAGAGTGGAGTTGTTTGAATGACGAGGACTTTAAAGTGAATTTAAACAGATTTCTGTGGAGCAGCAGGATGATGTCACCTGTCACCACCATGCACAACACACCTTTAAACAAACATGCTCAGAGCAGAACTCTGTGGACCAGTACTTCATTTTAGTTTTCAGTGAACCGTAAACCTGCTGGGCCAGAGTCTGGACCAGGATTCAGATCCGTGGTTCTGAGGACTCGAACAGAGAGGAGGATCAGGACTGTCAGGAACCAGGAAGTCTGGTCATTTGAGTCACAAAGATGTCAAAATAAAAGCAGAGCTACACATCTGGGTCACCTCTGGGTTAAGCTCCACCTCCTTTTTGGAGGAAACAAACTCTTCATTTCGACTAACAGGAAATAAACTCACGATGTTTTTAATAAACTGCAGAATTCCTCTGAAGTTTTTAAAATAAGAGTTATTATAAATCTGGATTAAAGTTGTTCAGTTTGGACACATTTCTTCAGGCTGTTTCATTTGGTCTGTTTGTCAGTAAACTTATTCAAACTAACCTCCTTCAATCTGCGTTAAACAATAACTGAGCTTTGATATCAGTTTGTTCTTCTGTGCAGTAAAGTTTAAGACTGTTTATTTGTTTGGGACGACTCTCAGCTACTACCACACTGAAACCTACGACACGTCAACGTCGTGTTGGTGAGGCTTCCTGTTGGTCTGAGGTTCTGACAGGAAGCTGCTTCCTGATGGTTTCAGCTGGAGGAGGAGGAGCAGGAGGAGGAGCAGCAGGGAGCAGTCCTGATGGTGCAGAGGAGCTGCCTCCCTCTCAGCTCATCAGTCTGCAGAACAGAATCAGACCAGTTTAATGTGTTGAGTGGTTCTGCTGGAGCCACTGGTACCAGCAGCTGCTATAGCTGCTGTTCAGTCTGTCTGACCTCCACCTGTACCACCTGTGTCCACCTGTACCACCTGTACCACCTGTGTCCACCTGTGTCCACCTGTGTCCACCTGTACCACCTGTGTCCACCTGTACCACCTGTGTCCACCTGTGTCCACCTGTGTCCACCTGTACCACCTGTGTCCACCTGTATCCACCTGTGTCCACCTGTACCACCTGTGTCCACCTGTGTCCACCTGTGTCCACCTGTACCACCTGTGTCCACCAGTGTCCACATGTACCACCTGTGTCCACCTGTACCACCTGTGTCCACCTTTACCACCTGTGTCCACCTGTACCACCTGTGTCCACCTGTGTCCACCTGTACCACCTGTGTCCACCTGTACCACCTGTGTCCACCAGTGTCCACCTGTACCACCTGTGTCCACCTGTGTCCACCTGTACCACCTGTGTCCACCTGTGTCACCT